GTCAGGCAGGTGGGTCCTCCTTCATCTGGCTCAGCACCTGTCTCCCCCAGCTGGGGTGACCCATGCTGGGGTTGCTGCTGCAGCTATTGCTTCCGTAGCTTCCAAGGCGCTGGTGGAAGGGCCAGGATTTACCAGGAAGTGGGGCACCTTGGGTGGCACCTAGGGTAACTAAGATAACGCGGCCCTTGTCATACGAGGTTATTCTGGAAAATGATCGTATGGTCAGACGCCACATTGATCAGTTACAGTGTCGGCAGGCCAGGCCAGTCCCGGGTGAGGATCCCGAGGTTTTNAGCCAAGCGCGAGGGGGAATGCCAGAAGCCTCGCGCGAAGGGGGGAGGCCTGGCGACGCTGCGCCCTGCCGGGCGCTCACTGACAGGGCCGGGGGGGGCCGAGGCGGCCAGGGAGGAACAGCCAAAATGCCCCCTCGGCTTATGCGCGGGTCACCAATTTTTCCCAGTTCTCTGTGGGAAAATCGGTCCCTCGGCTTATACTCGGGTCGACTTATACTCGAGTATATACGGTAACCTTTAGATGACCCTGACTGTTAACTCCAACTGTTTTGGAGGGAAACTTTGAACATTCATATTCAGGCAGGTTTTTTAAGTATTGTGATTGGTTAAGGCCCTGTAGGCTCAGAGTATAAATTACAGGCAATTGCCTGCAGTTCTCCAGTTCTAATTTGAGTCAATAAATAACGTTGTAACTATGCTGGTCTGCTCCTTGCCTACTGAAGCCCACTACACAATAAAATCCTCTGGGGAGATCCTAGGTGTGGTGCACAGAGAAACTGAGATGGGAGAGAAAAGGAGGGAGAAATGCTCAGTGCCCTTGGTTTCTAAGAAATCTGCCTGGGAAATCCTAGGTACGGCTGGACGGAGCAATTGAGAGGGAGAGGTGAGCTCACAAACAACACAGAGACCCACAAACAATAAATACACAGACAACTGCGGACAACTTGGATCCAATTACTCTATAGGCCTGGGGAGGTGCCACAGCTGGACTTACCCTCACAATGCTGATTGGCTTTTGCTTCTTCCCAAACCCTATACTGTTGCTCCTGCCATACCTTGCTTAGAAGAGGAACTGGCAGAGCAGTTTGAAACCCTGGCACACACAACTCCAGCAACTGTCACCTAAACCATGCACACAACCTATTACTGCACAAAAAGACCCTGGTGGCAACTTAAACTTACCAATGCTACCCCAGCAGTCTCTTGGCTTTCTCTTCAGGGGCTGATCCAGGCATCACTCTGGGGAGCACTGGCTCAAGGGAGGAAGGGACACAAAGGCTCCAATAGGTACCTGGTTGCAATTGTAGCCAGAACTCATCAGAGCAGATTGCTGGATCTCACTTCTGACACCAAAACTGTCCTGGAACTTTTGCCAAAGAAAGGAGCACAATGCTGAGGAGAAATGACCAAACTTTATTCAATGATGATTAGGTGCCTGCTTTGCAAGAAAGAGGGACCCTGAACAATAGAAATACAGAGATCTTTATACATGTTGGGGTTGAGGGGCAGGAAATCTGAAGGTGCTGATTTGTGGACACATTGTGAGCAAGTGAGATAGGTGGTTAAACAAAGAAAAATGTATTTTTCTATTGTAAAGCAAAGCTGCTAAGAATTCCATAGTTAAGAGGATGGGATATCTGTGGTCTCTCTCTTCCTGCTTCCTAGATGAACGTATTTTAGGTGAGGAATTTTCATTGCTTTCTTTGTGATAGGATTAAAAAGCTATTTGGAAACATTGCCATTTTTGAGTTATTCATTAGCCTGGGGCTGGTTTAGTTTACATATGCAAGTTGAGGGAGGAGAAAGCACAGCAGAAGGAAATGGGGAGTTTGGAAATGAGGGGGGAGGGGAGAGAAAGGAGAGACAAAGAAAAAGGTGAGGGGAGTTTGGAGAAGAGTTTGTAGCTTTATTTTATTATGATTATTTTCCATCACAAACTGTAGGTAGAAAGCTGTCTCTTCTGCATTAATTACCTTAATTCTAAAGGAATTTTATTTGAAGGAGGGTGGGGTACAAACTGGAAATGTTGAGGCCATTGCTATGAAATTAAAGGGACAATCATTCTGTTCATGGAGAGAATATAGACTAGTGGCAAAGATAAGAAGCAGAACTGGGACTGAAAATTAAACTGAATTTTCTCTCCAACCATGGGAGTAATTTTTCCACATCATTAAAATAGAAGTTGTGTCTACACATGCACACCCCAATGCACTCATTTGATACTAACTTCATCCAGATAAGAAGGTACTGTAAATCAGTGAAGGAATAGTTCTGTAGGGTCTAGTCCAAGCTGGGAATAAACAAAATGGAGACTGCTTTAGAAAGAAGGCTGTAGTTTTATTGAAGGGCAGAGCCAGACAGAAGCATGGCTCTGGGAAAACTGACCACATGTTGCTGGGAGTAGTGGGTTTTTATACCTTCTGGGGCTCTTGAGGTTGTTTCCTGTTCCTGTTTGAGGCTTTGTATTTCCTGTGTTGTGTACTGTGACCTGAGTCTGAGTGTGCCCTTTTGGTATTGGTGGGTTAATCCTATTATGTCCCCAAAGATTATGTCTTTTAGTTTGGGTGGGGTATGTAGATTTTAGAGGTCTTTGTCTTCCTAATCTCATAGCTTCTAGCTTCCTGGCCCCAACCTTCCTGAATGGATTATTACATCTGCATTTCTAAAAGCTGGTTTCTGCTGAGTTTCTGCTTGGGGCTATTAAGAAAAACTGGGCTTGCTTTTCTGCCTTTAAGATCCTTTGGGGAAATATATTCTGTGTCATGGTTCCGACTAATGAAACACTTCAAAGAACTTCCAGGCAATGTTTACCCTAAAAGCCTTTATTAACAGTGTAACAGACTGACGGCACTTCAGATGGATGGATGCCAGAATCTGAATTTCTCTTGCTTGCGTCTAACTTTTCTTGCTAAACCCCTCCCTTATTTTGCAATCATAAGTCACATCTTCCAATTAGCCCGGAGGGCAAAGATTCACTTCCGTTCCTTTTCCCGGGCTTTCCTTATAAATCTCCTCCCTTTCTCTGTCATCTGAATTAACTCTAAAAATACCAGACAGTTCTGAATATCTTGTCAAAGCAATAATATCCTATATTAACAGCGTTGACATCCGGGCCTCCTTACAAAAAGGACAGATACTGTAATGTAAACAAAAGCATATGTTAATGACTAGTTCTCGGTTTGCTGGGGTATTTCGCATGAAACCTTTTGACCAATCTGTCAGCTTTCACCTCACTGGATTTCACCCAGGTGGCTTCAGACAACGGGTATCCCTTCCATTGTACTAGGTACTGCAATTTCCCTTTAAAAATTCTAGAGTCAAGAATACGTTTCACTTCATAGTGGGTCTGTCCCGCAACTACAAGGGGCCCAGGTGCCTTCTTCGGGGGAGGTCTTAAAGTGGAGCCCCGATAAGGTTTCAACAAGCTGCAATGGAAGACTGGGTGAATTCTCCCTAAAAGTCTAGGGAGTTTTAGTTCTACGGTGACCGGATTGATGATCCTTACTATGGGGAAAGGCGCCAAGAATTTTGGTCCCAATTTCTTGCTGGGCAATTTGAGGCGTAAATATTTAGTTGACAAATAAACCTTTTCCCCAACTTGGAATGTTCTTTGGGGAGCCCTCTTTCTATCAGCCTGCTTTTTATAGGTTTCAAAAGTCTTTTTTAAAGCAGTTTTTGTGTTTGTCCAAACTTCTTCCCACCCCCTCACCCATTGGTCAAGTGTCTGGGAAGCGGAGGGCACCTGAGGGTATTCAGGTATTGGGCTGAACTCTTTTCCTGTGGCCACTCTGAAAGGCGTGTAGCCGGTGCTGCTGTGCACAGAATTATTGTACGCCACCTCCGCAAAAGGGAGGAGGTCAGTCCAGTTCGTCTGCTTGTAAGAAACGTAGCATCTAAGATATTGCTCCACCATTTTGTTAGCGGATTCTGCAGCCCCATTGGTGGCCGGATGAAAAGCAGATGATAAACCTTGAGATGATCCAATTAATTTAAGAAAACTCCTCCAAAACCTCGCTGTGAACTGCACCCCCCTGTCCGAAATTATTCGCTTAGGGGCGCCATGCAGCCAGTAGATATGTTTCAGGAACAATTTGGTCAGTCGTTGGGCAGATGGGAGTCCTTTGCAGGTGATGAAATGAGCCTGCTTCAAGAACAGGTCTATCACAGCCCAGATGTGGCTGGTCTACTTACCAGTCTCAGTCCATTGGAGAGGTTAGCTTGGAGTCCCATCAGGGGTGCCAAATTGTCAGAAGTAAGTCTTCATCCTGGTTCATCCAAGCCGGGAATAAATAAGCAACATGGCGACTGCTTTGGGAAGATGGTTACAGTTTATTGAAGAAGCAGAAAGATGGTTCTTCAGGAAAGAGCAGAGGAGAGAAGGTCTGAGCACATGGGTAGTAGGTTTTTATACCCCCTCTAGTCTTTTGTTTGGAATAGTTTCCTGTTCCTGTGGCATGAACTTTGAGGATATTTCTGAGTGTTTTTCTAGGCCTTGATATCTGTGGTTTAATCCTATTATCATATCCTGCTTCCCTGGTGATGGAGCTAATGACTCCTAGAGTTTGGGTGGGGTATGCAGATTTTAAGTCTCTTTGTCTTGACAAACTTTCTGATGGTTTTACATTTGCATTTGTATAGGGCTGGCTCCTGTTTGGGATAGTTGGCTCCTGCTTTTAAAAATCCTTTTGAGGAAAAATATATTTTTCTGCCCTTTTAATATTTCCTTCTCTGGGGCTCTGACTTCCCACACCCCCTATTGCTCTCACATGCTCTCTCCTTTCTTCCACCTCAACCCCCCCCAAGATACACACAATCGCTAAAAGGGGGTGAGGGAGAAAAAGGAGGGGGAAGGAGGGAACATAGCATGCGAGCCCCGACGCCAATTCCCGCTCGGAGCAGGCTAATAGGCTTCCTCGAAGGTGGCCGAAGCGTGTGAGGGCGCCGAGCCAAGCAGAGGTCCTCGTTGCTGGCTGCCCAACTTGGATAATGACAATGACTACGGTGGCTGACGGGCTGGATGCGCAGGACTCGTCCAAACCTGCCTTCATGGAGTTCCGGCAGCAGCAGCAGCAGCTACCCCCTCAGCAACTTCCCCATTCGCTGCCGCCACCTCCAGTGGTATAGGCTCCCGGCTGCTCCTCAAACTCGGCACAGCAGCAGCAGACTTTGCCAGTGACGGCCATGGCAGGCGTCCACTACCCACTCCACTGTGCACTCGTCGGCGCCGGCCTCACATCCGCTTCACCAGCACCAGCACCCGCACCATCATCACCACCACGTCGTGCCTTACCCGGCCAACTCGGCCAGCGCCAACTCCCATAACCACTGCTCGTTCGCCGCCGCCGCCTACCCTTACATGAGCCACTCGCAGCACAGCCCTTACCTCCAGTCTTACCACGGCGGCAGCGGGAGCAGCAGCGCGGCCAGCCAGACGAGGCCAGATGATGCAGGTGGGTGACACGGACGTGCGTGTGGATCTCAGCCAAGGTCCCCCCGCGCCTCCTCCGCCAGCCCCGATGGCTTCCCTTTCCCTTTCTTCTCTCTCTCCGTTCCTCCCTCTTTCTAGCTTCAGTTTTCTCCTGGCCTGCAGTGCGTTTCCTTCTCGCTTCTCCCTTTTCCACTTTGTTTCCCGCTTTCTTCTCACTCGTTCCCGCATTCAGATGCACGTTTCCTGGCAAGCGAGTGGCCAGGCAATCCACAGGGTCTAGCTTCCAGTTCCAACGTTTGTGAACGGAGATACCCGGTTCCCCCCTCCGCAGCAGGTCTCTCTGAAATGACACCTCCTCAACCCGATCCGGATCCTGTTTCTCCGGGAAGGGAGTCGCAAGCAGTTCAGTGGGACTTACTCTACTCTTAAGTAAATGTGCTTGCCATTTGCATCTCTCCCCCTCCTTTACTGTATCGGCACGCCTGTGATCGGCAACTCACGGACTTTCCCTCGGATCCACACAAGTACCTGTAAGAGAGCCAGACACCCGGTGCTCATGAGCACGTTCAAGCATGCATTTTGTTTTAGGGGCTCTACAAGCATTGCCATGCACTTGAACACTTTCAAATGGACTGTGAATTGCAATTTATGTTCCTACAGACAATTCGCCAGGACCAGACTGACCTTCCGCAATTCAGGAGAATCATAACTTTTTTTCCCCGGAATGTTTGTTTAGCCCATGGATGTCCTTTCCGTGCGGCGGTCTGCAGGGCAGAATTCTTTTAGAAACAGCAGCGGGCCATCTGTGTTGTCCTGCAATGGTGGACACTGTAACAGGTTTCGGCAAAAGTGATAGGCTACATATGAAATGGAATTCCTCTTCAGTCAAAGGCAGATGAGACAGCGCAGTTCCTCCTTTGTTGGGAGAGGGGAGGGGAGGCAGGTAGGCAGGCAGACAGGAAAATTAGAAAGTCAGGCACAAACAACCTCAGCATCCTGATATGTCCAGAGCCATGGGAAATATCTTGTAAAATTTCAATTTATATATGTAATCTGTAATAAATATTTTAAGAAACCAATTACAGTGACCAATTCAGCAATAGTGTCAATATTGAAAGGGTTCCTTCCTATATTTGACTGTGGACATGTGTCCGAACAATTCTTGGAATTTCTCTGCATTTATTTACTGAGAGATATATGGGCAGGGTATAAATTAACCTGCGTTTGTATAAAGAATGTGAATAAGCATATTAAAGGAGATGTTCAGATACCATATGCTTGTTTCTGTTAGTTGAGAATAAAAGATGTGGTGTAGAGTGGTATTTAGATAACCATAATTATTCTGTTCTCTAGACAGAACAGACTGCCTCCTGTTCAGTCCAGTACAGATCGCTAACTCAATAGAAATAATTATAAAACAGATAAATGTTTATTGCAGAGTAAATACTTGCTTTTACGATGTTACTTTTGTATATTACACCTCCCCCGTTCATTTCCATAGATAAATTGATGATGGACTTTCCCCTCTACTTCTGCCTAAGCATCACATGTTGGCATAATCATGAGATTATGAGCTCATAAGCCATGAGCTCGAAGAACAAAGGCATTCCCATGTGGCTTGTGTCCAGGAAGTCTCCCAATGCCCTTTAGAAACTCCTCCCACTGACCTATTAACAAAACCAGCCTTTAACCCAATAACTGCCAGGGTCCAGAATACTCCCCGCTTGGAAATTTAAATTTCCACTACTAACTAACTGAAATAGCAAAAAACATAGCATTAAGGCATGCAATACTCATTGTTAACTACCTTGTGACTAAATAGGTAAAATACAGTATCAAACATGCATAAAGTAAATATAAAACATGCACAAATATAACAAAAAAATAAGCAAGTGTTACATCAAACAATGCATAAACACAATACATAATTTGAGGTTTGATCTTCTGGTTCAGTCTTCATTAGCAACGGGACCAAATCGGTGATCAGCCTGGTACAAGAGTCTTTGAGTCACGACCTGACTCACGTGGCTTCACGATCTGGGCCTCAGCTTGGCAAAGTAGTTCATCAACTGGGTGGGCCCGGTGCGCAAGTCCCATGGGCCAATAGTTCTGGTATGCATTCTTGTCTCTCAGCGAGACAATGTCTTCTTCCTGTAAAGGAAACTGGAACCAAATCTGGAACAGAAAAACTGAAACCCAAAATTTCTCAGGAACAAAGGGAACTGGATTCACAGGATACTCAGGAACTGAAGCACCTGGAAAAACAGGAACAGCTGGATCTGGAAACATAGGAACAGCTGGGGCTGAAGAATCAAGATCAGGAACATCTGGAAACTCAGGAACAGCTGGAGCTGGAAACTCAGGAACAGCTGGAACTGAAGAATTAGGAACATCAGCTGGAACTAAAGAATCAGGAACAACAGCTGGAACTGAAGAATCAGGAACAACAGCTGGAACTGAAGAATCAGGAACAACAGCTGGAACTGAAGAATCAGGAACAACAGCAGCTGCAGAAGACTCAGGATACTCAAGAACCGAAGGGTCTGGAACCATCGATGGAGTATTGAAGATGGCTGCTACTGTTGTCATCAGGCTAGTGAGGACTTCATGTGTGGGTATGGGAGTCTTTAACGACATAGAGTCCATGAATTTGCGGGGTGCACCAATCATGTGCTCCCACGCTTCGCCTATGCGCGCTTCGCCCATGTTAGATGGATAGGGAAGGCAATTTTTGGCTTTCAGACATTTGTCAATCACTGGGTCATGGCAAATGTCTCCAATAGTCTGTAGGTCTTTGCAGGCTTCTTTAAGGTAAATTCTTGGGATACTAAGACAAGTGATCAAGATGATCAAAACTATGCCTAATCTCAGGTGCTTCCGCTTAGACAGGCGTTTAAAGCGGATTGGTTGACGTTTACTGGGTGCCTGAAGTTGAAGGTTGGTCCGTTGATCTGGAGCTGGAAGTGCATAGCATTTTGGTCTCTGTGGCATTTGTCTGTTTGGGTAGGCCAAGAACTCGGGACTTTCTAGCCAGATCAAATTTGTTAACTGTGTGGCAAGGTTGGGCCACTTCACTTGGTTCACAAAGTTCTTATCTGTTAACACATGTTGCCATTGTTCAGGGCTTAAAGATGTTTCAATTCTTTTCATTCTGTTGCCTACATAGACGTAGAAATGTCTGCTTTGTTTGCAGATGTAGCTTGACATCTCCTTGCTGTCTGCGTAGAAGGTGATAGACTGTAGTTCAAGGCACAACGTCTTCGCTGTCAAGTTGCTGAGCTTTACAGCCAAAGTGGTACCACATAGTTCTAACCTTGGTACGGTGTGGCCTTCTTGCATTGTTAGTCTCACTTTTCCAAAGAAGACACCGAGACTGCAGCTCTCCCCGCTGTAGACTCTGATGTATCTTATGGTTGCAAACAAGATGACGTAAGTGTGGCTCTCCCCGCTGTAGACTGTGACGCATCTTAAGGCTACATTTGCCTTCGTTGACACATCTAAGGAAGCATACAATTCTTTCTTTTGCACTGTGGCGGGTGAGCTGGAGACATACATGCACTGCACTTGCATACTCTGGAGACATCTTGGAAGTACACTCCATGACTCCCAGTTTTGCAGATGTTGTTTGTCTTGTTTGTCCTCTATGGACAAAGCTAAGTTGTTGTGATTCTGACTGGTCTGGAACACTGTTGCTTCCAAAGCAGGTTTGGTTGTCACGAGCGCGCAGTGTTCTAGGTGTGGTTTTAGGTGAGGTGCTGTTCCATTACTGGGAATGGAGGTTTTTGAGATGCTCACCTGGGTTGGGGTTTGCGGTTGATCAACACAAACTGTCCCTCCTATGGCCCATCCGAGTTCCGTCTGCAGTTTTTTAAAGAAAGATACTTGGGCTCCATTTGGCATGTAAATTACAACGATTATTATATTTTTATTGTTCAATAAAGATTCAGAAAAGTTAGCACAACAGCTTAAGGTCGCCAAGCAAAACTATTTTGAACATGCAAATAAACCTGGGAGATGGTTGGCGTATAAATTACGAAGACAGAAAGAGAAGCAACAGATTACTAATTTGCAAGATGAGAAAGGAGAGACCCAATATGATGAGATTACTAAAAGGGGTATAGCCCAAAGATATTATGAAAAATTACGGAAATGGTTGAGGCCATAAGTAAACAAAAGAACAACAAGGTGGCCGGCCCAGATGGAATACCAGTGGAGTTATACAAAGAACAGCAAAATGTATTCAACCAATACCTATTAGAAGTTTTTAATGCCGTTTTAACTGATGCAAAAATACCTAAATCTTGGTTAGAGGCAAACATAGTACTAATACCAAAAGAAGATGCGGACAGAACACAGATACAAAATTATAGGCCTATCTCCCTACTAAATGCTGATTATAAGATTTTCGCGTCAATAATGGGAGAGAGATTTAAAAACTATTTAATTGACTTTATACATTGTGACCAAAATGGGTTTTTACCAAATAGGCAGATTAAGCAGAACATAAGGACGATTATAGACATTTTTGAATTTTATGAATTGCATAGCGACCGCCAAGTGGCACTTTTGTTTCTTGATGCACAGAAGGCATTTGATAATGTTAATTGGCTATTTTTGATTCAACAATTGAAATTAATGGATGTTGGTAAAAATTTCTTAAACATAATAACCACAATATACTCTGAACAGAATGCTCAGATTATAATAAATGGTGAGGCCACTAATAAATTTAGTATTCAGAAAGGTACAAGACAAGGATGCCCTCTCTCGCCGTTGCTGTTTATATATACATTGGAGATTTTAGCAAGAGTAGTAAGGCAAGAGGAGCAGATTAAAGGGCTTGAGATCAAGAAGGAAATATACAAACTCCAAGCATATGCTGATGATTTAGTATTTATATTGGAGGATCCAGTGCAATCTGGTCAGAAGCTATTCGAAATATTGGAGGAGTATGAAGATTCGGCAGGCTTGAAAATAAATAGAAACAAAACAAAGATCATAGCAAAAATATGACTAATACACAAAAAGAA